ACTATTGTCCTCATCTTTAAGATAAATATAGAAATAAATAAACATTCAGTATCAAAGATATATTTTTAGATGAGGTTATTATGTTTTATTTTGTGTTCAATACCAACAATCCTCATCTTCACAATGACCCTTCATGAATAAAGAATTTATTTTCATTGGTTCTGTTGGTATATTTCTTGATAAATATATAGATATATTTAAAATATTTGACAATTGTCCTCATCTTCATCATATTTTATTAAACGTTTCGATTTTCATCTCTTAAAGCCGATTGTCTGTAGATGGAGGTATTATTTTTGAGTTATAAATTATTCACTGTTTCCTAACTAGTAGTTATTATCATAATGTAAATTTTATAAATATGTATATATTTCTGAGATAAATAATTATATACTTTAGTATATACATATTGTATATTGTATATATAATCTACTATATCTATCTTTGTTTGTAACCCGCCAAAGGACAACCACTGCCACCAGGTGGTCAAATAGAAATGATGTCTTTAAAAAAAATGTTCGTTCCACAAAGCCCGAATAATTTTGAAAATACATTGCTGACACTTTGGAAGGTTTTTTTTGCATTTTTTGCCCCAGTTAATCAGATTTTGTCCTTTTTTAAGAACAAAAAAGATGAGGGGGGTCCATAGATGAAAGTTTGTCTGTATAAAATATTATTTAGATTATAATAAATTGATTATAAAAAAGATTGGATTTAATCAAATATTCATCCAAACATTTTTATTACTTCAAACATTATTAAAATTGGATACTTTGAGTTTGAAATTTTCTTATCCATATTTATTTATTAGACAAATGTATGATATTTTTTAAGACTTCAATACGTAAACCTGTGAGAAACTGAAGTATATTGTTTTGGCTCAGAAGTGAGATTATTTAAAAAAAAGGTGAATAACCAATTCAAAATTGATTTGAACCTTTTATTTTGTGGTTGAAAAAAAGAATTCAAAAAAGTGGGGGAAAAAATAGTGGTTTTTCCATTCTAAAAAAGTTTTTTTTTTTTATTTTTTAAACATTTCACCCCAAGTAAGGCAGAAGGGCTACTAGTACGCAAAGGGTTACAGAGAGTAAAAGTAAGAAAAAAGTCTGGGTATAGGGGAGGATTGAGGGAAGGATAAAAAGAAGAACAGGGATCAAGGCATCAGAAGATGTCGGATGACATTACATTTAAATTTTTGAAGATTATAGTTATCAGGGAAGCAAGAGGAAGGTAGTTCCACTGTTGGGAAGTGCAAGAGAAGAAGCTGTTGGAGTAGAAGAGGCTACATTTAACTGTTTTGACAGTAAAATTGTGGTACCAAGATACCAACCTAGTATCACACTTAAATTCATGCAGTCAGGGCACCAATGAAAATAGCTCATCAGAACAGTTACCATGAAAATATTTATAGAAAAGACAGAGGGAAGCCATATTACATCAGTGAGAAAGTGAGAAGTTGAGATGCCAAGTTGCATATCCGTCTCACATTGCATATCCATCTTTGGATTTTGTTGAAGAACCCCAAGATGACAGATGTCAGGATGGACCAGACACCAGACCAAGGTCACCAGACCTATTTCATTTATTAGAATTAGTTGTAGATGTCAAGACGAATGGACTAGTCATAAAACCAACTTTACTTGTGCTAGATGCATTCTGACAAAACTATAGAGAAAGCAGTTTAAAAATTTAGATAGATCATAAACTAGAAACCAAATCTTAAAACCTGGATTTGGATGGATATATCATTCAGTAGAGATTCTGTTCTAATCAATGCCAAATTGGTTAAGCACCTCACTTCACATGGCATCCTTTCAGGTAAGCAGTAGAGATTCTGTTTGAGGGGCGAAATCAGGCAGGCAAAAATACTCCTGATGAGTCAAAAGTCGAGTTGGACAGGAATTTTCAAGCCAATCATTCTGCTTTATCCTCAAATTGATTAAAGAAAGGAGGGACTAAGGATTTGTTCCTGCTCAGTACACTCTTACAGAGCTGCCAATAATCCTTAGAACTAAACTTCTGAGCTGCTATATGGTGTCTCATTCTATCATTGAATAGTGAATTTGCCTCTTTAAGGACACACATTTATTAAGAAGTGTCTGTTGTAATTGGATCTGTTGTGCTAGTATAGCTGGGAGAAATGATTCTTATGGGCTACAGCAGCTGAACAGGCGGGAAAGAACCAATGAGAAAGCTTTGATGCCAGCTTTCACCCAGGAATAGACCTCAGTGGCACATTTCACAACAGGATGATTAGAAATATCATTGCAAAGGGCATTGTAAAGAAAATTACAAAATGAGTCTCAATTAATTCATTGATAACATAAAGATGTTCTGTTAATGGGGGGTTTCTTGGCTGATGATAGAGCAGAAAGAGATATCTATAGGCACTACCACGAGGTCGGAGTTGCCAAGAGGACAGAGCTGCTGAGCACGACATGAATCTGTGAAGGAATTAAGGAAGAGATCAAGTTGAAAAGCATGTCCACCAGAAAACACATAGGGAAGTCTACTATTTGAGTGAAAGATTGAGTTGGAAGCCCCTATGAGAACAATCTAGAGACTCATGAGACACTTCCATTGTCAATGTGAACATAGACACCAAGGCTAGACACTAGAGTCCATTTAAAAGAGAAAATAGCCAGGAACAGAGGATTCAGTGGAAGAGATTGAAGTTTCATTGGATTAGTTTTACAAATAGGTAGGATGTCTAGTTATATATGTATATATATATATATATATATATATATATATATATATATATATATATATATATATATATTTTAAAATAAATACACATGTGTGTGTATACATATATATATATATATATATATATATATATATATATATATATTGATTATAAGTATGCAGAGTGTGATGGATAAATTGTCGGCATTTTATATTTTTAATTTCAAGCATGGGCATTCTTTATTTTTGATTTTGTCTACTGCACAGTATAGTAGGGTCATTAGTCCCATCTGTGAGAAAATATACCATGACAAAATTCACACACACACACACATATATATATATATTTGGTGACCAGTTGCACTATACACAAGTAATTTTTTTCTGGAGCGGCTAAAATTCATTGGAGAGACAATAAACTCAGTGATGTAAGCATTTGTGAAATGAAGATGCCTTTGGATTTTGGTGTTACATTTTTTATCCTCTGTCAAAACACTCCATATAAAGTATACACGTGTGTATATATATATATATATATATATATATATATATATATATATATATATATATATATATATATAGGGCATGCATATGTGTGTATATATATATATATATATATGTATAGATATATTTGTTCATATAAATATTTGTCATTTGTTTATATCAAGATATGCTTTAAAATGCAGGAAATTTAACCCAAAACATTTTTTTTTATTTCCCTTAACCTATTTATGCAAATCTATTAAGAAAGAAAAGTTTTGATAGCAAAAACAGAAAGTAAAGAAAGTAGTAAAGGAAAGTGAGAAGAAAGGACTAACTATCAATTACAAGAAGACAGAATGTATGAGAGTTCGCATGAGGAACAGTCCAAGAAACATAGTTTTTAATCTTGATACCTTTTTATTATCATTGGATTGTCAATTATTATTAATTTTTGGCTAGCATTTCTTTCATTTTATTTCTCTTGCTTTTCCACCAAGTAGTAATAGCCTTAAATTGTCTAAATTTCTTCATATTAATTTTTGACTAGCATTTTTTTCATCTTGCTTTTATACCTTGATCCTGAGAGAAAACTAGCAGTCCTACCAAGAATTATTAATGATGGACACGATCTTAACAACATGCAGACAATACAGTGTTGATAACAGACCTATAAAGGAAACTGCTGGAACACCTAAGGAAAGTAGTAAAAAAAAGTGAGAAGACTAAACATCAAATGTAAGATGATAGAAAGTATGGTTGTTAGTAAAAGGGACAGCCCAAGATCTGAGTTACAAATTAGAGATGTCAAAATCAAAACAAATATGAAAATTTAAATATCTGTGGAGTATTTTAACAGAGGACAAAACATGTAACACCAAAATCCAAAGGCATCTTTCAAAAAGCTAAGCTTTTGAAAGATGCCTTTCAAAAGATGCCTTTCAAAAGCTAAGCAAATATTAGGAAACTAGAAAATTTCATTAGAAATAAAGGAAAGAGTGTTGAACTGTTATGTAATATCAGTACTTCTGTATGGCAGTGTATGCTGGACAGTCTCCTCACAGATGAAAAAGAGACATGAATCAAATGTGGCTCTACAGAAGGATGCTAAGAATACCATGTGAGCAATGACAAAATTTTAAGAAAAATGGAAATAAAAAGATGCTTATACTTAGAATTAGGAGCCAGTTTAAATTTCTGGCACATATAATGAGGAAAAACGGCTTGGAGAATTTGAAACTCACAGGACATATTGAAAGCAAGAGGAAGAGGGGAAAACAGTGAGTAAGCCACATAACAATCTTGTGTATGGCAGAACAGGGATTGGGAGGGATAGTGAAAAGACAAACCTTACTAAGAGAGTTACAAAGGGTAGGAAGTTGTGAAGAGCCATGATCACCCATGTCCTGAAAGGATATAGCTTATAGAAAAAGAAGAAAATGAATTCAGAAAGAACATTACTGTAATACAACTGGTTGTCATTTTTCATGAGTAACTAGTGGATTTTGCGTGTGTGTGTGTCTGAATCAAACTTGATGAAACTATTAGTCATATATAGGTTGACCCACTATTTTCCCTTCAAATTTGTTAGTCAGTATTTCAGGTTAATAGACCTTGAGTTTATAGAATGTAGGGGAATTTTCAGTGAAAATTTGTTGAAATTTAATCTATATGCCATAAGTTTTGCCGCTTTATTGGCTGAATATGAAATCTGCGTTCAACCTGTACATGAGGTACAAATTAATGATTTCTTGTAAGAAAATGAAGGACTAATTTATGTAAAGGTATTTATAGAATAATAACTATAACAGATTTAAAAGTGAAAAGCAGTTTTATAAAGATGAAAGAAAGAAAGAAAGAAAGAAAGAAAAAGAAAGAAAGAAAGAAAGAAAGGTAGTGTGCAATACTTGTGCAGAAGCAGGGCTATAAAGATAAGTAAAAAGAAAACCAAATGCTTGTAGAAAGGAAAACAGGAAAAAAGATTTGTATGAGTGAGAAAGGAAGAAGCTCAGAACAAGGAGGAAGTTATGAGGGAGAGTAACGTCTGTGAAAGATGAATTTGAAAATGGAAAAGGATGGAAAAAAAAAACAGAAGAAAAGTGAAGGAATAAAAAAAAGAGAGAAAGATGAGGAATAGAAAAGAGAGAGAGAGAATATGAATAAAAAAAGAGGGAAAGATGAAAAATGGAAAAGAAAGAAAGATCTGGAATGGAAAAGCAAAAAAGAGAAAACATGGAAAAAAGAGAAATATAAGAATTGGAAAAGGAGAGGGAAGAGGAATGGAAAAACAAGAGAGAAGAAAAAGAATGGAAAAGAGAGAAAGATGCAAAATGGAAAAGAGAATGAGAAGAGGAATAGAAAATAGAGAGAGAGAAAGATGAGGAATAGAAAAGTGAGAAAGAACAATTAGGAAAGCCAAAAACTAAGCTCAGGTGCAGAAAAGAGAGAAAGATAAGAAATAGAAAAGAGAGGGAGAGAAAAGAGAGAAAAACGAAAGAGTGGAAGAAAAAGAAGAAATAAGAAGAGAAATACAGATTGGGTTGAGAGTGGTTGAATGATTACAGAACATAACTGAAAGGTGAGACCTTGTAGAAAGATAATAAGAAAGACTGAGAAGATAATGATGATGATGATGATGATGATGATGATGATGATAAAGACAAAGAAGAAGAAGGGAGAAAGAACAACCAACAGACAAAGAAAGAGGAAGAAAGGAGAAAGGACAACCAAATGGAGAGAGGAAGAGGAAGAGAAGAGAAAGAGTGATTTAGAGATGGAACTGACAAAGAGGAAGAGAAAGTAAGGGTGACCGAGAGAAGTGACAAAGAAAGAGGTAGAAAGAGGAAAGAGTGATTTACTGACAAAGAGGAAGAGAAAAGGGAGACTTAGAGGAAAGACAGACGAAGAAAGAGTAAGAGAAGAGAAAGAGCGACTGAGAGGGAAAACATACAAAGAAGATTAAGAGAGGGGAAAAGGTGACCGAGAAGAGAAATAAACTGAGAAAGAAGACGAAAAAGAAAAAGGGTAAGAAGTGTGACGGAAAGAGAAAAGAGATGAAAGAAGATGATAAGGAAGATCGAGTGAGTGACTAAGAGAGAAAGAGAATTGTGTGTAAGTATAAAACAAGGAGATAGTGACTGAAAGAATTTAATTCGAAAAAGGAAAAAGAGAAAGTATGACAAAAAAGAAAAGGATATAAAAGAAAAGAAGAAACTAAAGAAAGAGAAAGAGAGGGGGAGGCAAAGAATAACGAAGACCGGAAACAAAGAAAGAAACCATAGAAGAAAGTCAAAGAATAAAAGAGAGTGGAACTGAGTAGACGAAAGCAAAAAAAAAAAAAAAGCAAACGAGACAGGTAGAGAGTAAGAAAGAGAGGAGGCAGAATAGGCAAACTGATCAACTCCTAAATTGGCCAGCTTGCTTCTACGGTCGATTATTGGTGGCATCGACGGTGATGGAGATGATGATGATGATGATGGTGGTGGTGGCTTGCCTCATCCCTTTCCAATTGACGATGATGCTGTTGTCGAATCTCTCCTCCCCTTCCTTTTACTACCTCTCTGCTTCCCCGCTCTGTTTGTCTATCTCTCTTTCTTATCCCTCCCTCCCTCGGCATATTGTCCGACAACCTGCTGCTGTTGTGGTTGTCAATGGTTATGATGATAGCGGCGGCGTTGGAGGTGGGGGGGTCGTATAGTACCACGTGATCTGTGAGTTGGCTGCGTTGCTTTTCACAATTCTTTCAGTAACAATGGAAGCAGCAGCAGCAGCAATCCACTCTTGAGATCAATATCAAACCAGCGTCCCCCTCCCACTACTCTAACTACCCTCCCTCATCCCTTCCCTCTCGTGACTCCTCTAACCACTCCTCCCGACTTATTTATAACGGCAGTTGTTTTTAAAGAGAGATAGAAAGAAGTTAGAGAGAGAGGAGCTGAAAAAAAGGAAAGAAAAAATTGCTCTTTCTTTTTCTCCTCCTCCCCCGTCTGTTTTAGTATTATTATTAGAGAGTAGTCGTAGTAGTGTATTAATTTTAGAAGAGGAATTGTGCGCACACACATATAAAGCCAATATTATTAATACTAATAATTCGTAATAAATCGATCTAAACCAAACATTTTCTTGTCGATAAATTAATGAAGTCATTATATAATTATTACCTAATAATTAAAAAAGGATGTTACTGTTAAAAAAAACATACAAAAAAGCATTGGTACTAAGTAAAAATCGTAAGACAACGCTTACAGCAAGGTTCATAAAGAACTCTAGTGTATAGTAATATAGTAGTACTAGTATTTAGCTGTTAGTAGTCAGAGTAGCAATAGTGACTATAGTCACTCGTTATTATTTATAATTTGGGTAATTGGTGTACTTTTTCGAGACGGACTACAGAAACTAGTAGAGAGGGTCTACTTACTACTAGCATTTATTGTCAATTTTATGAATGCTAGACTGACCGCTAAGAAGGGAGGGCGCGTTTTGTTGATTTCAATTCGTTTCGTACCAAAACCAAGAGAGAGTGCACACACACTTAGAGACTCAAGTGTTTCATAATATAGCACCAGGAAAAGACAACACAAATTTGGGTGGGTGGATGGATGGTGGATATTTCTCCTCCGTAAAGAAGGAAGAAATATTCAATTGGCTTTCTCACCCTGAGTGAGAGAGAGGCGTATTATAAACTTTATAATATAAAGTAAACTAAACAATTTGTCATCAAACAGGATCTAGCCTATACCAAGAAACCACTCTCCCATAACTACTGCCCAAGCAATATAAGTTGCTACACACGTTGCCAGCCATGACAAGCACCAGACAGTGTTGTTGTAGATTTTTACAAGAGAATACATATGACTGTTGGTTCAATGAATAAGAAGATTGTGTAGCGTCGATTTTAAGATCCTACTGATTTTACAAGTAGTACAATTTTTAAACTTAAAGTTGTTGATAAGAGCAGAAGAGCGAGTTTTCCTCCTCCCCTTTAATTTTTAATCAATATGAAAAAAATTTAATCTCATCGAACCAGCAATGAAGAACGAACCTGGGACCTTAGCTCTCTCAACAATGTTGCCTTCGTTTTATCACAAGTCTAGTTTTAGTAGAAGTAAAAAGTTTTAAAGACACCACACACACGCACACACACGGACAACTGACAACATAGTGAATGAAATACTCCACAATCCACATGATGTTTTTTTCAAAAACAATCGATTGGGATTTCGATTACTATGTATCCTAAAAACGATAGCCTTGTGCCAGGCTTACCTTACTGAAGATAAATAAAATAGATTCCGAGAGCATTTATTTTTATTTATTTCGCTTTTTAAATGTAAAATAAAGCTAAACAAAAACACCTTTTTTGCTAAACTAAGTTTTCCTTTCACGGAGAATGAAAGGCACCTTTTGCTAAAAAAGAAAAAAAAGAAGTATTTTTGCTAAAGTATTGAACATTTATTTTAAATCACCACAAATACTTTTTATGAACTGCAAATAAAGAAACACTAAATACATGCAAACTACACCTCGTCTGTGATCTCATAAACTTTTAGTTTTGTCTCTCTAGTGAGTCGATCAAGCAAGCAAGAAGCATATCATAAGTCTTCCATTCGTTGATTTCTTCAAACACGTGCGCGAGAAAGAGATAGAAAGAAAAAACTATGCGTTCAAACTTTTTTGAATACAAATCAAAGTTGAAAAAAGAAAGAACGAAAGCAGACGAGCTGAGATGTGGAGCTATTTTTCAGATGAATAGAAATTTGGTCTCTACAAGTAATTGTGGAAATATAACAGGAAAAAGTAACTCCGATAAACATGTGTGTATTACTCGCTTTGATTTTTCTCAGCACACACAATTTTTCTCTAAGCCAATAACAAAGGAAAAATAATCCACCACTTGTATTAATTTTTGACTTATATTTCTTTCTTTTTAATTTTAGTTGTCTTTTTATTATACTACGTCATATTAGAACCCCAAGCTATGCGTTAAAAATAGCAGGGCAAACCTGGCTCTCTAACAGGCAGCTAGTCTCAGAATTCAAAATTGTGGAGAAAGCAACAGAAACTACTACATTTACCTTCTCAAAATTGGAAAAGTTGTAGCTAGTCATGAAAACCTTTTATGTCAAAAAAGGACATGGCATTTTTTTTTTGAAATTGACAAAAATTCTTTCTTTAAAGCATTATAAATCATCAATTTTTGACAAGTAATTCTTTCATTTTATTTCTGTCTATAGTTTACTTGGATTGATATACACCTGATGAAGGCCAGGGTGGAGGCACAATAGCTGAAACATTATGTTAGCTACAACAAAAATGAGGAAAATAGTCTGTATGCAAATAATCTATTTAATTTTTTTTTTTGTATCAAAACCATCATTTTACAGATATCACTGGAAATAAGAAGTAAACCTTTTTGATAAGAATCAAGCTAGTAACCATTTTTTACAAACACTTGGCATATTTCTCCTTAATGTTTAGATACACTTCTAGCATGAGTAGTAATATTATCTTGAATTTTGTTTACTTATTGTCACGTATTATTTTGACGGCTCTTTCTTTATAACACATAAATCATAGAAGCATTGATCACAAACTCTCTCCGATATCGTCATATAAATGATTTTTTTAAGGAAGTCTGTCTTAACACAACAGATGCAAGTTTCTACAACCACTGGTTTTCATAGCCTAATGAGTAAATCAGCTGTCATGGTAAGATAGTACTTTTCAGAGGAACAAGAAGTTTGAGTTAAATAACACCTTGTTTATCTGTAAAATAATAATTTTGTTGCGTTAAAAAAAAATTAAATGAAAGATTATTTATATTCAGACTATTTTCCTCATCTTTGTTGTTGCTATCATAATTGTTGTAACCTACGGAAGGTTACTGAATAGAATAATCACATGAAGGTTGGTAATGAACAATAATACTTAGGACAAGAACAACACATATAAGATTCACCAGCAGCATGTAGAAGAAGTAGTCAACTGCTAGAAGTGAGTCATGTGAATTCCACAATGAATCTCCAACTCTGGGATATCTACCAACCGCACCACAACGTCAGATGTGGCACAAGGCTGAATTTAATGTGAGGTAGATGATCCCATATGCTTGGCCCAAAATTTCCCATAGACCCCATATAAAGATACTCTCTGCCCAGAGGCAGAGAGTTTGACCAGCACAGCTGGAAATAAATCTCCACCTGCAGAGAAACATACAGTATTTACTACTGTATTTATGTGAATGGGGACATACCCATTATTATCCAGAGGTATGTTGCAGCAATAATGTTTCAGCTGTTGTGCTCCCCAGCTTTTATCAGGGGTATATCAATCCATGTAACTTACAGACTGAAATTAAGATGAAAAGAATATTAAATAAAAGTCAATACTAAAGTACCAATTTTTGTAAATTAATGTCTTTAAAGCATAGCTTTAAAAACTGGTTTTACCTTTTAAGTTCTGAGGAACATGCAAAATATTGAAATAAAAGAGGAGGGAATATCAAACACACGTTGTTGATCAAATATTGATTATTGATAAGTATGTTTTATGGGATCTGGGTAGCAACAATTCAAGTTGGAAATGGCACAAAAATAAAGACACACATGTAACCATGAGTGTTATTAATTTATGCCTTAGCTAAGTACAATACAAGATCAGATGAGACAAGACAAGCTAGGATGAGGAGGGCTTGCCTCTCTAGAAAATCAGCATTTGAAATAATAGTTTTTCTTACCATGGCTGAAACATCGGCAATCAACGCAGGCAATTAGATCTATTTAGAATGATGGTAATTTTTAAAGATACTTCATTCTAGATTTTTATCTGGTCTTCTCAAAAAGGAATATTTTTAGATCTGGTGACTAGCCAATCCCTGCTGAAGACACCTGCTCTGGCATATTTGTGTTTGTTCAACACCCACAGAGCCCACCTGTGGTTTATACTGCAACTATGCTGAGCAGACCTTAGTTTACAGTTTATGGGAGAGAGCACATTATCTGGAGTGACCAACAGTCTGAACAAGGCTTACACTTTTTGTTTTGTCAGTCAAATATGACTTGTGACTTTTGCTAGCACAACCATCACGGTACAAATAGTTCTATCTCTTTTTTAACTCAAAAGGGTTTATTAATCTGGTATTGGTTTTTTTTTGAATTTTCCAAAGGTACTGCATGTTGGTATTATTTCTCCAAGATCGGCAACACATTTTAAACCTTCCCTATTAGTTCTCATTTTATGAATGTGATCCTAACACAGGTCTCATGATGAGAAGGTGAATGTTATAACCACTTTGCCACAATTTTAGATCTATTATCCTACTGTAAAGATTTTGATTTTTTTTTAAAAATAATAAACTTCAGTGGATAACATTGTACATTTTCTAGATGGATGACTGCTTAAAATACCACTTCATCATAAGTTTGGCATGTACATATCTTTGTGTTGA